TTTATTCTTTCTGAATATAACTTTGCGATACACTTAATTTCAACAGTCGCGCTATAATTGTCAACGAAAGACTTACGTGCTCGATTTCAACAATACTCAGTTCAATTACACACTCTCTGAATGCAGTTCAATTACTCATTACCTCCCCATCGCTTCGTGGCCGGTCTTATATATACAAGACTACACTATATCTAGAAGGATCACGAGATTTAAGGAAAAGACGTGAAAGTTCGAGAATCACGTGGCGTGATACTAGTCACGTGACCTCGATGTCGTAACATTATTATAGCGTATGTAGTTGCCCTGTAACACACATTTCCAAATCTGAATTTTATACAGGTATTCAAAAAATTTACTTATTCTACAAATTAACCATCATATGACAACATTTATATTTTATAATTCTCAAGTAATTACTAAACAGACTACTTGTATTAAATCACACTTGTATGGCTACTTTATTCACTTGTGTCTGACAAATTCACAGTAAATAATCCATGATGTATAGATGCAAAAACAATGTTGTCTTGGGTTCAATCCTCAGATACTCTGGTAGCTGAACATTCATTCTTGAACATGATACAATGGCTGCAACTTGGTTAGCTTGTATCGTTTCTGCCTTTGTTACTACGCTGATGACCATTCCAGCTGGAAGCTGAATAGCCAAATACCCATAGTTATAGACTAACATTGGTACATCACCCACACTTGGACAGATCACTGTTCATACAAATTCAGGCTACATTCCAGAGAGAAAACACTTGTTGTTGTTGTCTTGGATTCAACCTCAAAACAGAATATTAATTGGATTACCACATTAAAATAAAACAAAATACAATTACTATGTTAAAAATCTTATAAAAGGAGGTGCTCCCAAAGAGCTAATGTGTTATTAACTGTTAATTTTAGTTAATGAGATGTTTTCAGTTTGTAACCACATAGAACTGTGTTAGGTCATCAATTTATTTTTAACACTGCTTGTTGCTTTCTGGTATTTTCAACGTGGATCAGCAAAATGTTAAATTTTATAAAATAGCTAAAACTTCCTGTTATTAACCATAAGAGAGGGCCAGGTCAAGAATGGTTTAAATGGCTAACCTGGAATGTTCTAATTAACTGTAATCACGATAGTTTTAATCCAAAGTTAAGAAAAAAGCAGCATACATCTTTAAAACAAAACTTTTGGTAAGTTATAATGTTGTGGTCTGAAACAAAAATGTTTATCAAGGTAAACAAAAAACATCCACAATAGTATTTCATGTATATATTGGAATTTAAAATAAGCCTTTTATGGCTTGGTTATTGTATGTGAGCAATTTTCAAATCTGAACTTCATAAATAGCAGATCTGTTTGTCACTCTTATAGCACACATTTCTTAAGTTAATGTACAAAGCAGAATTGGTAGTACTACATCTCGCATCTAAGGCTCTTGGAACGTCCAGTCCATTACAGTAAGCACTAGGCCAAATTCAGGCCTAACTATCAAATTATGAAATTACTACTTTGAAATAAATTATGTTTCAGAATATATTATTATAATTCCTAGTAAGAGAAAGAGCTCAAGTATATTCAGAGAGTAAAACATTATTTGACATATTACTTCAAGTATGGCATTTCAACCTACCTACTTATGCTATTTTTATTCTCCATTCTGCAATTTAACCATCATATGACAACATTTTTTTCATTTATAAGTCTCAAGTAATTACTAAACAGACTACAAGATCAGTCAATTTTGCATAAGCAAATAAAGAGTATTCTACAAATACATATGTGATGGGTCCAAATGAAGTGGCTAATCAGTATGAAAGTCAGATACAGTATTATATTTTTTTACATTTGTCCAAAATGTTCACAATAAATAATCTGTAATATAAACATGCAAAAAGCAAGGATACTCTATGTTGGATATTCCATACATACACACGTTTTTTTTTGCAAATATTTTTATCATTCAATGAAATACACATCCACAATTCTGTTGATGAAAATTGACACAAATTTTAAACATAGCTAACACTAATTTACCTACTGATTTCATAATGTGTATATGTGTCCAATACGAAATATTACAATAATTCTATTGAAATTTGGTTCATATTCAATGTTGTTCAATTATTTGGAATTTCAGAGAAAAACAGAAAGTTGTATCGTTGTAATACTAAGAACAAAACTGGCAGAAAATCTACTTAATGTTATGTAAAGTCTTCACACAGTGTACAATATTTTATGTAAAAACTAACTGTGAATCTGGTCTTTTATAGAAACTTATAAATCAGATGGCTTATATATATATATATATATAGATTTTTTTCAGATATATATAAATTGATTCACTCATGATATGTTCCTCAGTAAATTTGCTTAAATTAATTATAAACTAAACAGAAGTGATCACTAGTGCTACTGAATTATTGGTCAGCATTATAAGTATGAACACTTTATTTTACTGGAATCAGGACTTTAAAAACATTTTATTACAGTTATTATATTTTTGATTTATTTATTTACTTACAATATGACAAAAATAAATAAATGATACTAAATAGAGGGATAGATGACTTATAACGAAAATAATTTTATTTGCTTCTAGATATACAGAACACTGGGCACAACATATGCAGTGTACTTGTAGCTGGATACATGTCTTCTCATTAAGTATATATTTTCTGCTGTTTAACACGTTTCAAAGAAACACGATGTTTTACTCAATTGCTTTGATCCAACTGAGGCAGATGTTGTAGCCATTATTTTGCATCATTGAAACAATCCTATCCTCATTATATTTCAACACACTAAGAGTAAAAAAATGTAGAAAATAAAGAGCAATAATAGAAACACATATATAACATAACAACAACAGAGAAGAAAGAGTGGACTATTTATCTTGATACAAAATCCAATTAGATATTAAATAAAACAAGTGCATTTTTATTTAATCTACATTTTAAACTGCTACAAATTCAAGTTCTGTGTATACAACTAAATCTCTAATAAGATTTATGGTTCTTATTTTTACTAAATCATATAAGAACTAACTGTATTACTGAAGTTTTATCTTTGTTACTGTTTTTTCTGATGATGACGATCATACCTGTAAGCAGCTTTAAAACTTGACAGAAATTACTCTTGATTGTTTCAGATGGTCCAGTCAATGAAGTAACAATAAAATGTACCACAATCAAATATCAAAATATTCTTACTGAAGACTGAAGCAATGTTTACATTTTAATTGAAAAAAAAAAGGATTTTATGATGACACCAAAAATTTCCTTTCTCTAAGAATTATGATGACTAGTATTTTTAAGGAATCATAACATACATACAAGATAAACTTGGTTTCAGAAGTTTTGAATCTTTATGAACAGATATTCACTGCTTTAGATGTATTTTTGAAAGCTTTAATTCATAAATTCAACAAGACATAAAGGGCAGTCACCAATTCAACAGTGCACTAAACTAAGGCTCTAATATTATACAACTGACTGTAATATTGTAAAGTATCCGCATATAAAGGATAGAGAAAGAAAGAAAAATATTGCCATGAGTCTGAAACGTTCATGAGCCATAACATTTAAGCCATTTGCCATACAAATTTTAAAAGGTTAAGAAGAGTTAAAAAAAAAGATTATGGTGATATATGCAGAAAACTCACACAAAGCCTTTAAACATGATTATATAACACTTTTTATTGCCATATTATTATGGCAAGGTTGAAGATCCCATGGATTGACAAATTTTCTGAAGCATGGGATATAAACTGGGCTGAGATCACTCATCCTTCAACAATACTATTCGTACTTGTGTAAGGAAGCACATTATGCTAATAACTTGTATAGTTAGCATTGGTGCCATGTCTGTGGAAGACTGATAATAAAATGTTTACTACTTTAAATATCAATGTGCTCACAAAATAATTGTTTGTTAACTTACTACCAACGTTACTGATTTTGCATTTTCTTTTATCAAAACACATTATTACCTCATGTTAGTTAATTTGTATTTATTCTTACCCACAAATAATTTATTACCCTTATTATCACTGTTGTTTTTTACTAAATGTTACTAAAGCTCTCTGTTTAAGTTCACAACTTCAAGAAAAATAGTCCATTAAAATTAATTGTATATTATGTATTTATAATCATATGAAGTTTATTTGCAATAACAAAGACTAAGTTATTAACAGAATGAATTACAAGTCTCACATCAATGCTGACAGATATTTTCAATATTAATTGTTAGGTTAAACAACAAAAATAAAAAAGCAGGCAACACTTGCATAAAAATCAAACAATCATTCAACAATCCAGTTATCTTGTTGTGATATTATGTAATACTTTTTAGATCACATTTTGGATGAATTACAAAAGTTTAATGGAAATATATTCTACAAATAAACTTCAATTGAACAAATAATTCATTGTTTTTCACCAAAACTAAAAACTGCAATATCAGTATAGGTTTTTTTGCACACAAAATATCCTCAGAAGCAAAGAATATATATATATATACCTATAATTGATTTGGATATACAACAAATCAAACAAGAGCAGTTACAGAAAAACAAGGAAAAGATTAGACATACTAACCATAAGCTATATCATGGAATCTTGCTTCCATAACAACATTATAAAAAAACTATTTCAATAAATACTGATGCAAAAATCTTTACAATCTAACTCCAATGCCTCTTCAAAATATCATATTTTGAAATGTCAAAATCTGTTTGAAAAGCCCCTGGGTCTTCATAAACTTGACATTTCAAACTATGAGTGGTAGGCATGCATCATCAAAGAACATCGTAACAGCTATACAGAATAATAACTTAATTACAATTCTAACTGTAAGTATAACATACACATAAAGAATCTGGAAGCACGATAAAAAGAAATAACAATTAAGTCAAACACAGTGAAAATAAAAGACAAACAAAACTAAGTGATGAGGAAAAATGTTCTGTATAACTGCTACAAATACTATAGTTTATAATGTATGAGACCTAACTTTACAGTAAAATATTAAATAGCAGAAAGATGATATTTGTCTTGCAACTAATAACAGTTAGAACAACATTCAAAACTAAGGTGGCTTGTACAAAAATTTTCAGATAACCCTTATTGTTCAAGGAGTTACTTGTGTGTGTACCAAAAAAGGTACAATAATAAAATAAGATTTTACTTTCACAATAATAAACAAAACTGAGCTTTGAGAGAAAATAAATTTTATTCTGATTTTGCTTACAAAAGCAAAAAAAAGGAAGTTACATATTAAATTAGTTGTCTCTCCTTGTAGTGGTTTCTTATAAAAAACTGTATTTCTTTACTATGTTTTTCTGCATACTACTCTGATACTTGTTAAGAATGCCTCAGGTTTTTTCAATTTGCTTATAAATCTTTTTTTCTGTACATCAACTGATCAATATCAAGCTGAGTAAACCAGTTTGTGGGCTATGCATCACGAAATAATTTTCTGTGCACTTAATCATACTGAACATGATCATTACATAGTTTCCTGTAAATCCATTTTGTGTATTGGAACACACCACAAGATTTCTATGAATACATACATGAACCAACGAGTATTACATCATTAATTCATGGGTATACTGTTCAATGTCCAATACTAACCAACTTATTACTTCAAAAGAAAAAAACATTCAGACAAACACAGATGCACTCTGGATGGACATTACAAAGATGTATCACTAGCATCTCTAAAGTTCATTAATTTCCAGTTGAAGAGGAGTCAGACTGGCCATTATGTTCAACCTTCAGTTTTTTCCTTGCTTTAAGATCAGCCAAAGTCTGTTCAATCGAACGCTGGTCTCTTTTATTTTCACTTGGCACTGAAGAACAGAAATCAGAAGTTGAATAACTAATAATATCAATTATAAGTATTATCTTTCATTTCATGAGATTTTTGTGAAAACAAAAAAATGTTTAAACAGATGTAGTAAATCAGGACTTTATGTCCCCTTATTATAATGTCATTAAGAAATATATTTTTTTTAAATACCACATCCAAAAAGCAAAATATATAGTAAATATCACAATAAAACTACTACAGTAGAACCTCAATTTATGGGCACTGTGCCATTAAGGGCAGACCTTTTCAGTCTCATTCTTTTTTCTACAATTTGTAACGAAAATAAATCTTGTAATAATGGGCACCTTGATATTCCAGATTAAAGGCAGTGTCTTCAGTCTCGTTCTCTATACAGGCACTCGATAAAGCAAGCTATTAACCCTTTCGCTGTGGGCAGGTTAAAGTGCACATTATGAACTTTTGGAGAGTTATTTTCAAAATTTTATTAAACAACTTTATTATTACTCATAACACCGTAAGTACTCAAAATTTTTGTTTCTCCAAGTAATTTTTATTTATTCTTCGATGTTCTAATAAAAATAACTAAAATTTAAACATTTGTGAATAAAGAGTATTTATTGGTTGATGAATTAGTTTGCTGAAAGAGAAATAGGATTTTATAACTATGGTTCATTTTTGATATTGAGGGCACCTTGCTATGTAGGGCATTTGGATGGTGTCAGAAGGGTACCCTTAATGTTGAATTTCTACTGTAGTTTTAATGTTTTTTTAAACTGTTGATAAGCTACATTTCTACCAAAAGATGGCAGAAGTGTTTCATTGGAAGTTGCTCTCAGCCATAAGCATTTTTTTCTAGGTAACTACTAATTAGACAGTGGGCAAGATTTACACTGAATATAATGCATTTTAATGAAGTGTCCATCCGAAGTTATCTATTAGTAGCATTTCATTCTTCACCTTCATGTTTCCAATTAAAAATTACTTGTTTTATACTGCATGTTTTTTACCCTCTTATTTAATGTCATATTTTTCAAAACTTTTCATGCATACAAGTGTATGTAATTTTGACAACAGAATATTGGTCAAGAAAGTAGATAAATTCCTTTCATCCCAGTTACCTATTGTTCTAAGTCTTTCACTTGTGGTATCACAATTTCTCATGGGAAATATTTCAATCAAGTTGAACATACAATGCACAAGTAGATAGTCATTTTTCCTACTGGTGGGTCATGTGATATCTTGAAGATGCAACCTCCCTTACTCTTCAATGGGAATGACTAACAGTGATATGACTAATGCATGTGCTCTGAGAACAATGTCATTATTTTTTTGTGTATGTAATGCTACATTCTCTCAGTCTATGACATTTCTTCACAGTTCTTCACACACAGTTCTTCAACAGATGTATCAGTACTGCATATCTACAATAAAGGTGCCAAATAAGCACTCATTAAACTTTAAATGCATTTTGTGTCCATTCTCTGACATTCTTCAAAGACATAGAATTCATGTTTACTCCATGAAACATTTTCTGTCAAACCTCCTAATATTCTGAGGATCCTATCCTATTACTCTTAAATCTGATAATACAATACCACAGAGTAGGGGAAGAGAAAAGTTTGGTGGTGTGACCACAAGATTTGTTTTTGTGGAGCCTTCTGTTTTTTGTTCTGACAAATGTAATTCCCTGCACTCTTCTTAATTCTCAAGTTATTAAGTTTAAAAGGATTCATACTTGAAGAAATGGCATTTTCAATGAGTTGAAGTACCTAAAACCAGAGGAAGAGTTAGTCACTTAGGGAAAAAGGTTGTCTGAGAAAGTATTTTAGTCTTGGAGAAGAACTCGCCCAAAGGCCAGACTTTTACTGTCAAACTTCTTACTTCTTGCAACTACAGACTGAAGAAGGAGAACTACCAGGATCTGATATATCTAGAATGACTGATTGAGTTCTTCCATCGATAATCTATCTCAGTGTGCAAGAGGCAGGAACAACTGAGGATCTAGTGTGGTCTGGTAAGTCTGAGACTAAATGAATTGGTTTCTATAAGATTCCCAAGCTGTTTCTAATACTAGCTTATAGAGACTGGAGGTGCTGCTGGGAGTAATGTCCATCACAATGAGTTGTTTGTCCAACAGGTAACAGTGGGCACTGACTGGTAACATTGGTGTTCTATGATCATGGACTTTCCTGTAAGGGCAAAGATACTGCTAAGACAGCCATGGGTCACACAGAGTCAATGAACAAGTAACTCACCGTTCTACTAACCAAAAGCAAGGATATAATGCTCACCAGATGGTATGGGTCCCTAAGTGCTCATTGTGCTGTACCCCCCTGACATTCAAGGCATCTCAGCCTGTTGTTGGGCAAGAGTCCATGTATGAGAGGTCTATGTCACAACCACATGTCCCTGAAAATAAAGCTTAACAGATTGCAAGTTGGAACTGGACCATTTCCTGAAACATTTTAAGCAGGTCACCACTTGAAATGGCAGGATTAAGGAGTAGGTAGTGCAATGCTTAACCTTAAGTTTGAGTAGTCCTTTGCCCTTGAGCAAGAAGCAACTTTGGGAAAAGGACACAGCTATGCCCTAGTTCAGAACTTGAAAGAAAGGTCCTGTCAAGAGCTTAGTTGCTTACACAGATAATCTGCACCATTTGCACACAGGGCGTATCTTGCAAGCTCATTGAAATGCTATCTGATAAGGCAGTGAGATATCATTTAGATGTGAGAGACATTCTCACCCTCACAAAGACAGTTTTTACAGCAACAAGGTTCATGGCCCTAGCTTCAAATAAATTACATAAGAAAGCAGCCAGCAACAGCAGTTACAATGACTATATGTAAGACAGATCGCCCTCCTGAAGTGACTGCATCATACCATGCTCAAGCTTTAACTAAGGCAAATCAGTAGCTAATAAATCATGGAGCTCCTACAAAATCCTACTGGCTTCCAGTGAGTAGGCAGAGCTTCCCTGACCTCCTATGATATTTATGCTACAGCCAATGCTGATGATGCCACCACCTGAACATTGCTCTGGAATGGAAAAACAAAGCATTTGTTTTGGGTGTGGGCAATTGGATTACTTTAAAATGAACTGCCCATAACTTGCTGAGTAGTAAGGTAGGCAAGGCTACCAGTTTCAACCAACTGCACAGCAATCGCAAGATGGTCAACAGCAAGCTTTAGCTGCTGGTACTTCAGCTCCAGAAACCTAAAAGACCCTATCAGGTTTGCCCACTGACTTGGAGAAGTACTGCGAATAGATTTCAATGAAAGGTTTCTTGGTTTGTCCAACTATCTCAGGTCTTGGTAGCACTTGGTAAAGTTTTTGATTGATAAAAGAGCTGCCAGGGCACCATCTGATCTCACTGTATATAAGGCATTCCAAATGAAGTCACTACTATCTGGCCAGTTAACAATGATTTTGTACTGGCAAATGGTGATAAGTTAGATGTATCTGAAAAGACACATCTCGGGCTATGTCCAGGTGGTGTCAACAGCAGGAAAAATGTAATTGTCTCTGACCTTGGTTCTGGCACTCGTATTCTAGGGACGGACATATTACAGAAATTGTTGGTCACTTTTGTCTGCACAACAGGTGAACTTTTTTTCTATGGGAAAGTCAACCAGTGTTGTCCAGATCAGGTCCAGGAACATTGTTTGTGTGTTAGTGTACTGCATAAAATGATGAGATTTTAACTTTTTTATAATACGATAAACAAGACAGTGAACTGCTATGTATGTGAAATTTTACCCTTCATCTTACCTGTGGGCAAGCACTTCATTTTTCATTCCATCTGCAAGCAAAGTACACCTGTGTGTGTGTGTATATATATATATATATATATACATAGATACATCATTTCTATCCCTGTATATATATATGTATGTATAGTGTTTACTTTTTCTTTTATTCTTTGAATGTCATAATAACTTTTCATGTGATCAGGTTGAAGTGTACATGTCACAATTCTGTAGTTACATTCAAAATTTAATTAAACAAATTTATTATCAATGTATGTCAATAAATGTGGCACAAAAACAGTTTATAATTCAAGTTTTTGTATTATTTAAGTTTTAATTTCTTAATTAATTAATTAATTCTTGAAATATTTCAAAAGAATATTAATATCTCTTTTTCTGTCACAACACATGTAATTTCCAACTTCTCTATTTCAGAACTTTCTAGCTTCAAAAATAGGTTGCTGCAGTTCCAAAACAATTAGAAACATAAACTCTGAATAATTAAAATCTAAAATTTGAACCTCCTAACTTCTTGATTTGCTAAGGTATTAATAAGTTTGTCAAATTCACCAGAAAACCCCTTGTCTCTTTCTCTAGCTTTCAAGATTGTTTGCTAATCAACTTTACCTGGCTGATAGGCATGCTTATAAGCAATACAATGAGAATATTCTTCTACATATAAACTTTCAATTGTACATTCAGTTTTTCCTTTGTAAACCATTTGTCAATGAGAATTGTTACGTTTATCATAATCAGATTAGGTGCTCTGAACAATAACAGAATTTTGTAACCTATTTATAGCTTACACAGAAAGCCAGATAAATTATAGTAGATTTGGGACATTTTATTATAGTGTCTGATATACTTTTTGTATTCTAAAATGCTTACTTGAAAGATACCTCAATTTTTTGTACATCCAAATTTCTGAGACTCAATAAGGCATACTGAAAAACATCAAATATATTATTTACTCTAGTGTAAGTGGCTCGAGTACACAGTGACATCTTTGTCTTTTCATGTACATTTTATATTTATTTACTTTATTTTCAACAAAACTAACTAAAATGTAAAAATTATAAACTTTCTCAGTTTAGCTTAACAAAACTTCAGTAAAATATCTAAAATTTCACTAACTCCAGTGCAGTGTAAAACTTGATACTCAAATCATGTGCTGTTTCTGTTAGTTCTGTGGGAAATAGCTAGGGGCTTCCTTCCACTGTGATTTATTGCTCTTAATACAAAGATTGCTGCTCCAATTGGTAAAAAGTGCAGCAGTATGAAAAGGTTCACACTTGAAACTGTTAAGTAACTTGGAACTTTCTGATCAACACTGCAGAGGAAAAAATTGTATTATTCATTTTATTCCATATTTTTCAACTTGCCATTTCACTGTATACTGATGATTTCTCTACAATTAGTATTAGGGTAGAGAAAATAAGAGATGAAATATTAAAGTTTTACCAAAAGAAAACTTCTGTGGTTCTAGAGTTTACAAAAATGAAATATGAAAAACGTACAGTGAAAAGAAGTATTTTTAACCATAACATGACAATCATCTTTGGCTCAGACTGGTTCAGTAAAGAGAAATCTCTAATAGAAGTACTTTATTAAAAAACTTTATTTTTACGTACATCAGGTTTTTAATTTTTTACAAAATTTGTAAAAATTCAGAGTTGCAGTATGTATACTTTCACAACTCTGAGGTTGGTCAAATTGACCAAGTTCATTAAAAGTTAAGGAGTTCGTTTTGTATTATATTTTCTTGATCCCAAAAGAATGTATGTATTGTGTTAGTTGTCAAAACATTTGTTTTGTTGTTTTTATTTATTTAATGTTAAAGAGTATATTTTGTATTCAATGTCAGCAAGGTTTCATTGCACATTTTAAAATGTAAAATAACTTACTTTTAACAATGGATTTCTTTTATTTTTGGCATACCATTAACATTAATTTTATTTCACAACTTCATTTAACTCTACATGCACAGAAAGTGTCCACAGTATATGTGTCATGACCTTTTAACAGAGCTACATTCAAAATTTATTTTAACAATTTTTGTCAATATATTTGGCATCAAAACATAGTTTATAATTCAAAGTTTAATATTAGGTAAGTTTTAATTTCTTAATTAAGTTATCAATCTTCAATTTTCTGTTTCACATAATGCCTTGCTCTTCTGAATTCTTGTTTTTAGATTTGTTTTCTTCCCTTTTATGGGTTCCACCCATGGTATACACTAACAGTAGATATTGACAGGCAATAATTTAAAATAAGAACCTCCACCTTCTTTATTTGCTAGGATATCAATAATTTTTACACCCACTACAGAAGCTCCTCCCAACTCTTTTCTGCTTTTCAAATCAGTCATGTTTATAATCAATAACGGCCATTTTGTGAACTACACGTTATGATGACTTTATGTTAATTTACTGTGGTAAAAGACACTACTTCTTATTAATAGATTTTATTAGGCACAGACTAATAATGGGTACACCAGTAAGTAATGTAATATTTTTTAACCCATTCATATCTTAGTTAAAAAGTCAGATGCATTGTAGTAATTTGGGGCATTCTATTTTACTGTTTGAATTATTGCTTGTGTTTTAAAATGCGTAGTAGAAAGTTACATGAATTGCTTTTTGGACAACCAATATAGTGCAGAAAAGTGTCTTAGCAAAGTACATTTTGTAGTGCAAGTAGGCCTAACTTTCTTGTATTTTTTATGTATATTTTTCATTTATTGATATATACTGTTTAACAAAAGTGACTGAAGCGTAAAAATTAAAAACTCATTATGCTAGCTTAGAAAACTTTAATGAATAAAAGTAAAACATTCTTGTACCTTGAGTAATGCATGAGGAACATACCTAGTTAGAACATTATTCATGGTTCTCAACTTTTGCTACTGTTAGTGTTAAGATGGAGAAAATAAGATATAAAGTACAAGGTTTTACTGAAAAAACTTTTGGAACTCATTTAAGAGGTTCTAGAGGTTATGCAAAGGAAATATGAAATTGTAAGGTGAAAATATATTTTTATTCTTGACATGGTTGATTCACTAAATATAATAATATCTCAGAAAATAAAAAATATAGGAGGTTCTTATTTTATATTCTAGCTTATCAGTATCGGTAATTTGAGTTTCTAATCTGTTAGAAACTACAGACTTTGTATTTAGACATCATAAACATCAATATTTAGGATTTTTTTTAATATTTACTTATAAATTAAAAAATTAACTAGTGTATAATACTAAAATTTGAATCATAATCTACAATTTTATACCAAATTTACTAACATACATTCATAGAATAGTATTTCAATAAAATTTTGGATGTAAGTCTACAAATATGATGACATACCCTTTGACCCCTGACCATAAAAAGACCCACTGAGAAAGGGTCAATAGGAAACAACATAATATGTTTGATAAAGTGTCAAAAAAACAGAGTTTGCTTTTTAATTTTAGCACAAAGCCAAACAGTAGGCTACATGCACTTTGTCCACTGCAGGAAATTAAATTCTTGATTGTAGCATTGTAAGTCTCTAAATATACCACTGACCCACCAGAGAAGAGAGAATGTGACACTCATCAAGGTTGCCAAAACTATAAAACATTATTTCATGTACCTTGTATAATAAAACTAACTGTATTTTGAAAAAAACAACAAAGTTATGAACAACTTTGGGAAAGTATTGTACCAATATAACATGAATGTGGACACAATTCTTCTTAAGACCCATTCTAAATGTAAAGAGATAAAACAGGTAAAACATATAACTAAAAACTATCAAAAAATAAAAACAAAACTTCTGCAGAACAAGAAATATTGTAATGTTTATTATTTTTTGTGTAAAATAAGTTATCCAAAATGTTATTTTTATAAATGAAAGTTTACCTTTTTCAAGAAATAATACAGTTTTAACGATAAACTGAAAAAATGAACTTACCAAAACCAAACTGTCTATTTGTAAAAATAATTTTTTCAGCATCTTTGGCAGCTTCTTTACCTAGTCGTTTTTCATTTCTCTTTTGATACCTTGAATACACAGCTTGTTCCTTGGAACGTTTTTCATCTTCTTCCGCTTCTTTTTTTGCACGTTCCTAGAAAAGGATAAAAGTACCCGACATCAGTTAAAAGACAAAACTTGGAACATTAGTTCCTCATAAAAAACCATTCTGAAACTTCATGTTCTATTACAGTTTCTCGTATAGACTATTAGCACATTCTGATTGATGAAGGATGCAGATAGCAAGTCAAAAAAGTCAATTTCACTCTTCTTTGAAGGTTTTCCAGAGTCAATAAAGTATTTAAGCAGGTCAAAAGCAAAAGAGCCAACTGGTAGAATAACAGGTAATTTAACAGTTACATGTAAAAATTAATTACTTTTTTGTAATTGCATATGCACTGTACTTGGTGAGGATTTCATTCAAAATATGAAGCGTTTATTACAAGATACAAGCTTTAATTGAAGTTTTCTTTTTTAGATCGATACTTAATTCTACTCTTTAAGCTTGCAAAATATCAACTAGGGTAAAACTCGTTGTTGCATGTTATAAAGCACAAAGCAAAACAAAGGGCTATATGTGCTCTTCCCACCACGGGTATCAAAACCCGGTTTCTAGCGGTATAAATCTGCAGACATACCACTGTGCCACTGGTTACAAGTCAGCCCAATTCCAGATTTACGAAGTACATCTTCATGAAATGTGGAAAGCTTTTAGACAACAGTTCAAGTCTGTTGTACACAAATAATCAGATGTGTTACTTATGTTTCTGTACTAAATATATACCAAAGTCAGTCTGATACTAACAAGTTGGACTGCAAGGTGATGTTTATGTAAAGAATAAAAATACTTTTGTCCACCATACAGTTTGCTAATTGCATAACTTCTACAACCTCCTAAATGTATATCTACGTTGTTTTCAGTATCCCTGTACACTGTATTTGGTATTTTTTCTATAACATGAACTGTTGCAAAATCAGCAATGTATGGTAACAAAAAATGTTGATAACTCTGACATAAAATGCATAATACCATATTGAATAATACTCTGAACAAGGTCAGGGCATGCAAAATTTGACCTCCACCCATGCACATAGAATTACTATGACTGGGTTTTTCTATTGTTAAAATTATTATAATCCTTGCTTAAAAATGGGTAATCTCTTCTGTTTGTACTTTCTTAAACATAAAAATAAAAAGGCCATAAACTTACAATGAGAAAGAGCAAGAAACAGTAAAGTACCCTTCTCAGTACATGTTAAAATTCTGTCATTCTAGAATAGGTTATGGGCTACATTAATTTATGTTCCCATAACAACAACAAGCATACTGCATTATGTATGCTAATAGCAACCTTCTTTTTTCCTCAAAATCTAACCCTGAAAACAAATAGATTTGTGATCATCAAGTACATATAAGGATGAGGAAACATTTTTTCAAAAATATTTCATTGAAAACTATAAAATGTTATTCTACACAACTTAGCAGATGAGACAGTTTTTATTATCCAATAGTAATCTCACAAAAACAATAGAGAACAGGACAATGAGTCAGTTTTAAACATAGCCCAAAAAACTATATAATAGTGCAATGAAATCTTGTGTTTTCGCCCAATGGGACTCATGACAAGTTAACTGTTTATATTTATGAAAGCAAAAAAATTTAAATATTCAGATTAATAAAAACCATATACATATAAACATTAGAATGTACAACCAACAAGATGTTACCAGCTCAAAACTGTACCTTAAATGTTTTGTTTATTTTCTTTATAACTATATTCTATGCATCTAATTATAATTGTGTAAACACAACATCCAATATTTCACTATTAAAAAAAACATTTTGCCAAAAATAGAGATGCGTTTATTAAAACCTATTACACAATTTGTTTAAATATATGGAAGTATTTTAATTGATTGAACTATCATATTTTAGAATTCAGTGTTGATACACTTGAATGACAACAAAATTCCAGGACTTTTGAAGGACTTTCTAGGATGAAATTATCTAATTTCCACAACCCCAAAATACTTGATCTAAAAAATCACAAGTATTCATTCTAGTCTACTAAATCATTTATTAAATTTAAATGAAAATATTACAATAAGGTAAAATTAAATTCTTACTCAAAGTACTTGAATTAATGAGTTTAAGTCTTTTACAAATAACACAGAACAGTGACACTCAAACATTTTATGCACTGCAAAAGTAAAAGAATATAAAATAAAGACTGTCATTATGTATTTAAAACAGAAGTTTTGAATTATATGAGTCTACACTCATATGTATTAAAGCAGGTGAAAATGTTTTGTTGTACTTGCTATAAACCAAATACATTTCTTCACACCCCATACCACTGTCTACTAAAGGTCAGCCTCAAGTTAATAAAAGTCATGTAATAGGTTTTTGTCACTGAAATGAAACATATTGTCCAGTTAGTTAATACATGAAAAGCACATACAACTATCTTATTAATATGTGAATAGATGGCAACTTCAGTGACTTTGACTGCCCTCCCAACAATGTGATGTCATTATAATACAGTCAATTCTCGGGTCCTTCGATTCATGGTATGGCTGTTTGTATTCAGAGGTCTTTACCAAATTATACCTGTACTTATATGTTGGGATTATTTGCACAGATGTCATGAAGATGATCAATTTGCAATTGACAATGCTCATATATCTAGAGATACAGAGATGTATAATATTTTTGGTCCTGCAACATTTCATGCTTTGAAACGTCAAAATAACATAATGTTTAGGGATAACAAGGGACCTATTGGCCCATTTCAGCTGTTCCATCTTCTAAACTAAACTAAAACTATTAACCCATTCACTGTGACTGGGACATATACTTCCCAGTGCACCCACCTCCTCACACTGCGACTGGGACAAATGTTTCCCATTGTCATTCAAAATTGCCACGTATGGAGTTGGAATGTATTTATTGGCAACCATGCCCGCATCACTAGAGTGGTGAGTAGTAACCCTAATTTCTATGTAAGTATGCTTGATGCACTTGACTCAGATAGCTTATAAGATAGTGAAAGTGTATCAAGTGGTGTTCAAGTATGTGATGATGAAGAGGCAATGAGACAAGAGGATGCTAGCTTTCCATCTAGTGATGATAGTCAAGATAAACCTGGACCAAGCAGAGGAAGGCGTAAACAGTGTTGACCTTCCTTATCGCAGGGAGAGATGTAGGAGTAGGTTGCCAGCGATGTCGAGCCAACAAACCTTTCATTTGACAGGATTGACAAGTGGTAGTTCAGAAGAACTGAATTACTTCAAGTTTTAGTACAATGAATTGATGGACTTGATTGTGAATGAAACAAATCGCTAATATTGTTACTTGAAGGCAAAACTCCCAGAAACTTCTCCCAAGAGTCAGATAGGACAATTATATGATACTACAAGAGATGAAATGTATAGATTTTTTTGTTAATGATAATGTCTCAAAATAAGAAACACAGAATAAATGATTACTGGGCCATCAATGAAATGCTTGAATTGAAATTCAAAGAAAAAACGTATGTCTAGAGATCAATTTTTGCAACTGTTGCATCTGCTACATTTCACCGACAATACCCAGCCTTCATGCAGTGATAAACTCTAGAAAGTAAGGCCAGTGCTTGACAATATTTGTAGGAACTTCCAAAGGAAATTCAGGCCATTCCAAGATTTATGTATTGATGAGAGCCTAGTGCTATGGAAAAGAAGGCTAGGTTTCAATCAATATATTCCTTTTAAATGGCATTGTTTTAGTGTGAAAATCTTTTTTCTGTGTAATGTAGAAAGTTATTATATTCTTGATTTTATTATTTATACTGGAAAACAAACTTAAATAGAGTGCGATAAAGAACTTGGCATCTCTGGTTCTATAGTGAAGACAATGTTTTTGGGTCATCTTGGTAAAGGACAAATATTATACTGTGATAGTTGATATAGTAGCCCTAAATTGTTCAAGAACAGAATACAGGTGCATGGGGAACAGTGTGGAAAAATCATAAATTTATGTAAGGACTACCAAACATAAAGAGTGGTGGTGTAGTGTCTCGTAACTGTAATGGCATTTTATGTGTGAAATGGCATGACAATAGAGTTGTGCATATGCTTTCTACCATTCATCAAGATAATTTGATTGACAGTGAGATTTCAAGCCGACCTGATGAAGAAGCCTGCAAGTGTGTTAGAGTACAATGACAAAATGAGAATTGTCAATAACTGTGATATGCTTACTGGTTGCATAGAGTGTGTTTTCAAGGTGGGACATCAAACTTTTTTGTCATATCCTAGATATGTCAATATTGAATGCATTCAACATGTATTTAGCGAAAACTTGTAATAAATTAGCTTTGCTTGACTTTAGTAAGGCAATATTGCATAAAATGGCTGCCAGCTACATCACTGGGCTGTGTTGTAGGACAGCAAGAATCTAGGTTAGTTGAAAGATATTTTATGGACCTAATTCCAGCAAAGGAAGGTGCCCCCAAACCCTGTCAGAGATGTCATGCTTGCTCTCATACTACGAGGAGAGAGAGAGAGGAAAGAGCAAAGAACTCCTTATATGTGTTGAGACTGTGACGTGTCTTTGTGTGCAGTCCCGTGTTTCAAGGGGTATCGCACTCTAAGTTTATTGAGGCGAGTTTCATAAAAATGTGCAATAACAACCAATTTCTTACAAACGGATTCTGACATTATGGAAATGTAGAACTATTAGTCTCTCATACATAAAACATGATATATAATAAAATATATTTTGTGTGTATTGCATAAACGAGAGTATTAACAGATGTACATAATGTAAATTGTAAAAGTATCTAATTTCTTACATGTGAAAATTTTGGGCATTTAAATGAATATTTATAACAACATCTTTCAATTACCAAACATTTCCTTGAAAATAAAAATACAATATGTTTACTTGTTGCATAAGAACATATAAGAAGAGTGAGCTTATTCAATATGCTGTACATACATCACATAAATGCATATAAACATCTTATTTCTTACAAGAATATTGTGAAATTATGGAAATGAATGAATAATTGTAACAGATTCTTCCAAATGCAAGACATAGCATTGATAAAA